AAAAAGTAGATCATAACAATATTTATGATAATTTTCCAGGCAAATTTGCCTGGAAAAGCCTACAGTTTAAGGGATAGGTATATTTTAGTAAAAGTTAATTTATTTTATAAATATATAAGCAATATATCTAAAAGTAATGTTGTTATGTCTATAATATTTAAAACTTTTTTGTCTATATTTAAATTTAATATTTATAGTATTTACAATTGTTTAAAATATTTAGGCTTTAAAATTTAACAAATTAGTTTAAAAAATATAATTATATAGAAAATTTTAATACTCACCGGAGGTGAATTTCACCGGATCACGTGATACATTATATTATATTATATACATGACATAACTATAAATTCTAATTAATATAAGATATAATGAATCTTGGGGTGACGTATAAGATATGCAATAAATAAATATTAGTTACGCATTATATTAGTAATTATTTGTCACACAAACAATTCATCACACCAATATGCTCAAGTGGAAGAGTTAATCTCCAGAGTTAACAAGTATATACAAGTACACAAAAGTATGAAAGCCTAAATATAAGCTTTGTTCTAACGAATATAGCCTCCAAAATTTTATCAAACTATAAAACCTATAAATCTTATAGCGGTTACAATAAAACTGCTTACTTTGCAACATTCAACTTTAATAGCTGCTAATAAATTAAAGATAGTTAATGCTACGCTTCGGCTATTGCCTCCGCTTCGCTCAATTATACTAAACACCAGGCAAAATACTTTTATAAATTGATCCATTACTCTAAGTATTAGGCAAACCACTTTTATATAAATTGATACTCATACCCTAATATTAATAACTGCCAATAAATTAAAGATAGTTAACGCTATACTTCAGCTGTCACCTCTGCTTCGCTCAATTATACTAAACACCAGGCAAAATACTTTTATAAATTGATCCATTACTCTAAGTATTAGGCGAACCACTTATATAAATTGATACTCTTACCCTAATATTAGGCAAAACATTTTTATAAATTGATACTCTTATCCTAAACATTAAGGCGAATTATAATGATGCTTAATCTCTATTAAAAATATCAATAAATAAGCAATATTATATTATCAATTAATATGCAATTATACAATGCATTATATTACTCATTTTCTTTACCAACTACATTAACAAATGGATATTTCTTTTGATAATGTCTGGGTTTTTTACATAATAAGCACCTGTGTTGTTGTCTTGAGCTTGTTTCACTATGATCAGCTTCTTGAACAATATTTGTAACTTCATTCAATGCTTTTCCTTTTGATAATTCTGTAACAGCTTTAATTCTTCTTTTGTGAGGAGCATCACAAAGTTTAGTAACGTTAGGACTAGTTATCTGATCAATTAAATGCTCTTGTAATAGAATTATTTCTTCAGTATCCTGATCCTCTTTAGAGTTGTAATTTTCTGTATTAACATTCTCTTTAGGTTCATCCATATCACCTTCATGCTTCTTTTGATTCATCGCAATAAAATCTTTTAGTAGTCGAACCAATTCTGCAACTTTAATAGTTTCTAAAGCAACATTAATAGCAGTTTTGGCTGTTGAAAATGCAATTCCATATCGATTCCTTTGTGAGATACATTTGCGATCTACTTTATTACAATCAGAATTATTGAAATTTTGTACACTTTGAAAATTAAAGGTTACTTGAAAAGAACAGTTGGAGTGTGATTCTAATGCAGTAAGTACAGGAGAATTTTTAACATTAAAACCTAATTTAGTATGAATACTATCCTTATACCACCTGGTAGGTATAATACTTATATGAAATCTTGCAAAATGTGAGTATAGCATAACACGCCAGAAATGCCAGCAAATTATACCCTTTGTAACAATTTCCATACAAGTACAAATATATGTTCTATTTGCAAAAAGCATTACCAAATTTTCTTTACATGAAAGCCCACCTATACGACGAATTCTCTAAGTTTCAATTATATTTTTAGCTTTTATACTACTTAAAAGAGACTGTAAAGTAGTTTGTGGCTCATCCAATACATCTTCTATAAAATAGTCATTAATAGTTTCCAATTCTGAAGCCTATAAAATAAGCATAACAATATAACATATTATATATATGCTTATAAATAATAGTTAACATAAATAATAAGATTTCCTTACTTCAATAGAATATGGAACTAATGAACCCTCATATATAAATGATTGGGATATTTGAAATCGTTGCCATGATAGTATAGGTGGTGTTAAAAACTGAACAAGAATCGCATCCACACTTGAAAAAAATTGAGATGAAAGATGCAGAAGACCTATAGTCATATATTGATCCTTAAGATCTATCAATTTACAATATTGAGATTCATCCTCATGTCTTTTATTAATTATCTTTTCAATATCACACAGTGTACTAGCACTATTTAAAGCCTTCTTAATAATGCCATTAAATGACTCTACACTTTGAGTGCTTTGTATGCCAGCATTAAATTGAAATGGTGTAAATGATCTAGCCCAACTAATTCGATTACTATATAAAACTTTATTTATATAATTGCAACATTCAGGAAATGACTCTAACATAAATTCCCACCGTTGATTAAATAATTTCACACTTAATGCATTTCTACATGAGTAAAATGCCTGGCTAAAAGAAGGAAATTTTGGGCCTAATTTTGCTTTAAGATGTTTAATAATATTTAGCAAAAATGAAAAAGGCAATAAAAATGGATTGTTTCTGGAAAAACTTGAGCAGCTG